TTTGTATAGGATGCCACATCAAATTGGCCTCAAGGTGTCGAAGGTGCTGGCTGAAGTGAATGCAAGTTTACTATCATTTATTAAAAACCATGGTAATCAAGAAAGGTCCTCAACAATGGGAAAAAGGCAAATATTGTGTTTATGTTAAGAAGGAAGGGAGATCAAGGGAATTATAGAAAAAAAAGCAGCCGTAATTTTTACACTGGAAAGTTWAAAAATGGCATTCATTTAGAATTAATTTACAAATGCATACAGAAGACAAGGCAATCAGGAATAATACAGACAGATTTACCAGTGGCAATTCATGCTCTACCAGCCTTAAATGACTCCCATGATGAAACATGGATGGGATAAGTACAGGCATCCCTTCATTCAAACCTGCATTATGGCATAAAATGGAAACTTGGAAAGAAATTTCTGAATGTTAAGAAGAGTGACTGATGTAACGAATGACAAAAATTCAAGTCAGCAGGATCTGGGGAAATGTATGGATTTTGCCTAGAGATGCCTCATTATGCTGGACAGGCAGAAGGGCCAAGTTCTGCACTTAGGGTAGGGTAGGTGTAACCAAAGGAGAGTGAGTGGATGAGCTGCTAGGACCCACGCTCAAAGGACTTGAGAGTGACCACAAGGCCAGCAATGTGCTCAGCCCATCCTGAGCTGGATAAATGGTGTAGAACAGGCAGCAGAGGCTACAAGGAACCTAAAGGACGTGACTGACATGGGGAATGAGGTGAGCACATTTTAGCCTGGTAAACTTAATGCCATGTTTGAAGAAGCAGAGATAAACCCCTTGCAGAAACACCAAACTCTATAAAAGGGACAGTGGAAGAATCTTGAAGCGYAAGCTGGGTACATAAGGTTGTAAGTATTGAGAAATGTTTTTTCCTGATAAAATAACAGGATATCCATAGAAAGTGTGGATGAACCATCAGAGAAGCTCGGAAGTCAAAGCCTTGGTATCACCTCCAAAAAAAAAAAACCAGAACAGATTTTAACCAGAAAGACCTTATAACCAGCACTTTAATCATGATTTAGATTCATCTATCCTAACTGCAGAAGTTTGAGAGTTGGAAGGCAAAATGCTGTCTCATATTTAACCATTTATTAATTAATATTTTGGAGGCATCAGTTCCAGGAAAGTAATGTTCAGTGTGACCTCTCCTTTTCCATGTCACAACCTAGATCTTTAAGCTCTAGGTCTTATAAYGTATTTTCAGTTAATTTGTGACTGTAACTTTCAAAAACAATTTGAATTTTGCTACTTGTTTTTGTTTTATTTTTATAAAGATCTCTCTTTTGCTACTCTACATTTTATCATTCTTTGTTTACTCTCTTCTTTGCACACTTCATAAATAAATGAAGGAATTTTAAATCCTAATTAGGACTTGTGAAGTGTGAGCTAGGATCCTCTACAATGCCAGAAAAGTAAAATTTTGCTAAGTAGAAACAGATTAGTTACACAGTGATTTCATTCAGTTCAATTCCTTCAATTCAAAACATGAYATTGTTAGTTTAAATAGAACAAGGCCATAACCAGGCAGATGGAAATACTTCTCATCCATTTCAAGATATTCTAATTTAGCTTCTTCTTAGAAAATTCTGTTTAAACAGCCTATAGCAAAGACAGTGTCTTTAGCTAGCTTTTGCACACAAATACCAAGCATTTACTTATATATAAGATAAAATAAGTACAAGTTACTGAATGAACTGTGTTTACACAAGATTGTCCTGCAATATCTCCCTCTCAGTGAAAAAGAGAGGGCATATGATCAACAGAAACTAATTCCCAGCAGATTAATTAAGTTGATTTTATAATGTCACAGTGACAATAGTAGTTTGAAAATGGAGGATTGAGCTAAGCAGAGGTCTCTTTCAGCCAAATGAAAGCAGAGAGCATTACAGAGAAACTGGAGAAAAAACAAGCATTTGTTCTAATAATAGATGAAAAACAATTTTAAACCCAAATGTATTGTCCCATTTCATCAATAGTACTACAATTGTAACAGTGATACAACAGCAATAAATATTTTTCTCACTGAATTATAATAAATAAAAATTTACTCACTTTTGCAGCTACAACAACTTAAAACCATTTTTCTCTAGGAAAAAGATCTTATTATACAATTATTTTTCTACAACCAATTTATTACTGTAACAAAATCTGTTTAAATGGAAACAAATGATAGCCTAAATCAAATAAATTCCATTGCATTCCCCATTACATATACATTTTGGTTCATTCATAATCTTAGATGSTCTAACAATTTAATTTTCTAAAGCTTTAAATCCTATTGACTAGGTCTTCTAGTAAGATACATTTTAAGCATTAATCTCTCTAACAAAATAAAGTGTCAAAGTCTCCAATATAAATAATGGGTTTTTCATTTGCCCAGTTGCTGTCAATTYGGTGGAAGTACATAAAAACTCCAGTTATTCAAATGCAGATAATTCAAAGGGAGATTGTCCAATCAACACAGGGCTCAGACTTTCAAATTCTCAGCTTCTCATTCTGATTTTCCACATGGTTTCCATTCACAGCTCACAATGTAAATATATTTATTGGTAAAGGATATTTATTTCAGTGATAAAGTTAAGGAAATAAATAAACAGACCCATAAGCTTATTTTAAATAAAYATATCATCAGCACTAATCATAAGATTGCAGACTTTGTCAATTTGTGATGTTTTACTTCCTGAAACATTAATCTCTGCTTGATGTTAGTCTTCCCAATTACTACACATGCCTATTTAAATCTCAACCCTAAAACTCCATAGGTTTCTGAACTAATAAATATGTAAATTTTCAATAATGACACAATGTCCAGAACATCATCCCTTACCAGTCTTAAGGATTTTTTTTTTTTTATGCTTTTCATATGAACACTCTTGGCTGGTTTAGGTAATTTGTTTGTGCCTCTGTAAACAATACAGCATACATTGCAAAAGTAGAATTTTCTGCCCCCTGGTTTCATTTTATGAAACTAGAATACCTGGGCCACAAAAGCAGCTGACAGTGATCCAGGACATGCATGTAGAGATTCACCATGATACTCACCCTGACACCAGTGGGTCTTCACTGAGGCAAAATCAGCATCACTACATTCAGCAGCTCTCAATTCAGAATTTTGCTTTTCTTCTCACAGCCCATAAGTCACATAAACTTTCAGTATGTGCAATGTGTTGAGTGAAAGAGTTCCATAGCTTCCCTCCACATTGCTTAAATAAACACTTTTCTTTTAGTTTTGAGCTTCCCAGATTTCCCTACTACTGCACATTTGATGCCATTCATAATCTTGTCACTTTACTTCTCATTCACACATCTGTTGAGCAGAAAAATCATTGCCTGCTATCACCTCACTGACAGAATCTAATTCTACCATTTCATTTTTCTACCTTCTCTGAAGCTTTTATAGCTTGATTACATTTTTTTGTTTGTTTCCTTTCCAGATGAGGAMCTGGACATAGTATTTAAAACTTCTGCATATCATGCCTACTGCATGATTGATACAACTATCAATTGATTGATTCAATGATGTATTTAATGTTTTGATTGACCTTGCTGTGAGTTTGCTGTTTGGGTTTTTTTAAACTTTAAATTTAGTCTTAAGAAGCTTACAGTCCTTAGATTTTCTCTAAAAGTCTTCAGCTATCCAGAAGGATGCCTTGCCCTCAGTAGCCTCTGACACCCTGCTGATTAGCCGTGTGGTTTCCCTTTTGCTCTTTCTCAAGCCTTTCTAGCCAAGCAGAATGCATTTGTTCTCTGCCTTCAATAATACCTTAAATAGTCTCTCTGCCATCTGCCATGACTTAACCCTCTTAGTATTCCTTCCAGATTCTCCCAAACAGGAGCCCTTGTTTATAATTTTCTTTTCTGAAGTTGAGTCCAACTGTGGGGAGATTTCTTGGCTTCTTCGCAGCCTTGCAAGGATATTGAATCTAGAGAAAGAAGTAATTTGAACAATATTCCACCTGGCTTTTGCTTYTTCTCTCATCTTGCTTCTCATTCTCACATCTTCAACTGTCCAACCCATGAAGATAATTTAGTCTCAGCAGTCCCCTAAGGAATTTTACTGCAAAGTATCTGTCACTCTGCTCAATCTAATTTTCTCTGTGAGATCCAGTCTCAGTAACAACCCCCACACCTTCAGGGGACTTCCAGGGCAGAGTGATGCCCATCCTTCCTCCATCCCTCCTTACACAACAGCCAACCACTACCTTGTGGTGAGGTTTTACTAACATCATCATTGTCTTCCTATGTACCCACCACATCCCTGATCAAAGAAAAAAAAAATCTGTCCTTTGGGGATATTCCTGGCATGTGTCACTTGGGGCAACAGTGTCAGGAGAGGAACACTTTTTTAACATCCTGGTGATGTTTGTGACCAGATTTTTGTAGTCTTTTTCTTCCACTCCACGAAAGAGCCATTTTAGCACATCCCTGTATTTCCTCATGAATGATGGTGTTCCTTGTCTTTTAAAGAAATTCAGGTGCTGAAGGTACCTCTTGTAGACACRTGCAGAACTGTCAGCATTTTGTTTTGCTCACCTCATCATTTCAAGCTATTGTTTGCTTTGGGTGGCTTTTCAGGTGCCAGCTAATGAAACAAWGTGCTATTACTCTAGAACTATTTCTGCAGGCACTTCTTGTATGCATGACACAAAAACCTAYAAAAAGACCCATCAGTCACATGTAAAGTTGTCTTAGTTGAAAAAGTTCTGTTGGTCTTGTCATTATGCTTGGATGAACATAATCGAAATGAAAAAATCTTTTTGCTGTTTAATGAGACARTGTAATTGTCTCCTCTGGTTTTAAACGATGAAAAAAGCATTTCAGTGCGAATTATTTGCCAACAATTTCTGAAACCGTGTGTTGAAGTACTGTCTCATGGGAGTATCTGCACATTATACAGACAACATCTCAATTTATATCCAATGTTGAGTACTTATCTAAAGATTTAATTTAGATTTACAAAAATYAAGCAATCTGGATTTCTCCCAGTGACACTTGTAGTAAAATAAACATGATACATGACACGGCACCTGTGTGCACACATGCTGAAATTTACTTYCCAGCACGAAGTCCCAGTTAAGCATAACTAATATAACAGCATTAGACTGATGAAAACTATGGTTTGCAGTGTTATCTTCCAACTACATTTGTCRATTAAATTAGGCCTACATGTTGGTATATGTTCATTATTTTTGCATTGCACACATAATATAAAACCACTCCTGTGACCAGGTCATTATTTTTCATATCTCATATATTTTTTCTGAAGAAAACTGTGCATTGTTTCAGGTGGATTTTGTGCAATAAAAATTTTACACACAAGCTGATCTGGAACTCAGCATAGCAGAAAAGTATTTGCAAGTAGTAACAAATTATTCCACTGGATTTTTATTGGGTTATTTTCAAATACAGATGAATGCATTTTGTTCACAAAAATAAGAGCTTTGCCAAGTGTTATCATTAGGCAATAATGGAAGTGTTCAAATTCCCATTCTGAAATTTTCTTATTGTTTCAGTACTTTTATCTCTTCCCTAAACAACTGAATACTTGTTTCAAAGAACAAGCTTTCCAATTTTAAAATATAGACTATCCAAAAAGGGAGGAAAACCAAGCCCATGCCAGTTGTGTGTCCAAATAAGGTATTCTAATGACACAGAAATGACACCACAGTAAGAACATTACAACCCACCCAAAAGCTAAAATGCGTGTGAACAAAACACAGCCATCATTCTTTAACAAATACAAAGGTTTCATTTATCCATTGCACCAAAGGTAATTGACCACTAACTTTCATAAAAAGAGTCAAATCATAAGATCATCCCAAGTTTTGCCAAATGAAGGAGTCTTACATAAACTTATTTAATTTTCTGATTTCCTGRCAAACTTCATAAGCTGTTTATGGCTTCAGAGTCATAAGTAAAGACAGAGCTCAGGTTTTTCACCAAAAAATACAGTCACATGAGCATCTTTTGCAGTGACAGGACTTGTGGCACTTACTTGAGCAGAGCTGGCATTTCATTCATGAGCAGGTAAGGGTGCCATGCGTGCACACACACACRAACATACACGCAGAACACTTGTTAGCACATTAGAGCAGAGCAACACACTTGTAAGATATCTGCCCTTCACAAAGTTAACCCCAGATTTTAATTTTATTAACTTTTGTTATTGAAAGGTATTTTTTTCTGTTAGTGACCACTTAAATGGTTCCCTAAAGCAATGAACTGAAAGAAAAGTCTATTCAACTTTATAAATCAGATACATATAACTGGATTTAAGATTAATGATTTAAATGAACTGGGGACCAAATGCACTACATTTCTCTTAAAATTACACATAGGCTACTGGACTAAAAAAAAAATTTTTTTTACTCAAAACAGCCCTAGCACTGAAGTGTTCAATAACAACAACAAAACACTGCATTAGATGGGTAACAATGACTGTTCTTCACTGTAAAGTGTTGATTGTTCTAAGAAACAACCTCTTGCTGTGTAGATTTTCAAATTATGAGCAAATAGTATCAAATTAATGGTCTTGTCAGTATGCCAAAACAAACAAAACACCAAACAAAAACCCTAGCACACACACACCCCAGAAAAACCCAACCCCCCGAATGACTAAATCAGTTTTAAAGTAAAATGAGACAGCTGGCAAAAGGTTTCTGTATAATTTGGAAAACCACCATTATTAGACTACATTCATTTCATTCTTAAACATCCAAATGTTCACTTACTAAAACTCACYGATAATAAAAACCCTATCCCATTATATATTTAATTTCTTCCTGTGGATATTAAAATAAACTATGTTCTGAAATTAAGAGTTAAAATACCTCCTTTTGTTTTCCATACATATTTGCCTATATAAATATACTTCATCATTTTACAAATTACACTATTTATATTAAAGCTTTCATTCAGCAAATCATTACAGCTTAACAAGAACAAACAATTCCTGTGTTTTGGTTCTGTCCTTAAATCACTTTTGGAGATAATGAAAACCAGCCAAAATGAGTGACTGCAAATAACACAAACAACACATTTATTTAGAAAAATAAACTGAAAATGTTGCTTATTTGTTAGATTTCTCCATGAAGTATAGACAAATGGCTAGAAAAATTTTATGTCAAGTACATATTACAAATGACTTCTTTAGCAGTAAATGGGACTAAAATGTCAATGTTCAATAGGAACATTTTCTGATGTATAATTCAATAGACTAAAATTTTCAGCTGCTAATATGATAAAAAAAAATGGATGCTATTAAAAAAGATTATATCCCCTTTTTAAATACACCTTACCATGTTGCTGCTTTTTTCATATATATACATATGTATATATGTATGTATATGCACGTATTTATTTCATCCTAAGAAAGGACCATAGTCCTTTCTGTGAAGAGATCCCCATAGTGAAAGAGAGCATAAATGTCTTTCTTCAGTTCTAACTTTTTAATTCCTTTTGGAGCCCTGGCAAAGTATAGCTTGTTGTGGTGAAAAATCTCCTGGGGCCATCTGTGCAAATGGTGGCACAYATCATTACCCTGAATGGAGGGGACAGTGCAAATATTAGAAGTGCATCGAGATGCAATCTCTAGGAGTGGAACTTCCTCAAAGTTGGGTGGAGGACAGGAGACAGCATCCTTTCAGGTGACTGAACTTCACTTATGCCCTGTTCCTGTATGGCTTTGAATATATACAAGGGATGACAGAGGTCTTCTTCCCCTCAGACAGTAACATTCCTCTGTTATGATAAATGTATTCACTTTCTGAAATCACATGAGTGCTTTGCTTCTCCTTTTGGCTACATATTGAAATATTTGTGGATGCTGGCTGTACCCATAAAAAACTCGTTGTTTGGTACTCTGGTTGCTCAGCACAGAACTCGGGTGTCAGGCTTGGAGACAGCGGTTTCTGCATTGGGGCAAGACATTTAGTTCTCTTATCCTTCTTTCCCACTGAATGGAATTTAAGGCTGTGGCTTTTGCCAGGACTCAGCTTGTAGCTGTCAGATCTGAAAAAGATGGTTCAATGCAGATTACACCAGTGATCAGCTGGGCTCTGACTTGAAGGGTTTTTCCATTCTCCACTAAGGGTCAGGTTCCTGGTCACTTCTCAGATCTGGCCTGCAAGAAGTCACAATGATGAATCTGATATGCAAGAAATTAATTGACGTGCCTCCAAATATAGATATTCCTTCAAGCCTGAAGGTGCTGTTAAAAAGAAAAGAAGGGCAAAGTTATCAAAATGTTACTTTAAATAGACAAGTTAATAAACAAAATATAATTTTGAATTATCATTCCATATTTCATGTAWGCAGGAGTTAAAAATAAAGAATGGTATTTAGAAACTTGATCTTTTGTGGCTGTACTTTATTATGAATACAAGCCTTCATTCTCTGCTGGGGTAAATGGGTTTAACTTCAATTGTGTCTTTGAAATGACATTATTTACACCCTCTATGAAGTCTGGACTCTAATACTTGTTCATAAATTAAATAGAAATTGAACTCAGCAGACGTTTCCCACCTGACAAGTAAGTTTCCCAATCTTTAAAATACTACATAAAATCCTGAATAGGGTCTTTACTTCACATTCCTTTTTGTGAAACTGTTTCAATTTGCATAAAACACTAATAATTCTGCAATTTAATGCTGAAGTTCACTGATTTACTGAGTTTTCCTAACTTGATTTATTAGGCAAGACAAAGCAGCAGCATTAACAAAAGAAATCTTAGAATACTTACCTGTTRGTACCTAGGACCCTAATTTGGGTTAAAGGATTAAATTCACACCTGAGGAAAAGAATGACAACTTCCTCATCCAGTTCTGGTGATCTACACCCAGAGGTACATAATTCAAGGAGGAGGAAGATCATTTCTATGCAATTAGTTTTGTGAATCTAGCCCTTCATTCACATCACCTGTTWTTTCATGTTGACTTGAATGATTTAGGTTGATATAGATTGTCAAGGGGTAGGATGAATTTCACTGTCAAACAAAAAAAAAGGGAATCTGAATTTGGTGTAATGTAAATCCTTTTCTTTTTTTCCCCCACCACTAAATAAAAATATTAAATATTTAGGGAAACTTRTTTAACTCTCAGAATTGTTACAGTGGCCCAACAGTCTGGCAAACATGGTATAAATCTGTGATCCAATGGCTTGGCKCAAAACCTTCTTCCTAGCCAATTATTCAGGGTTTGGCTCACATTGTGAATGAAAAAGAAGAGTATTCTAAACATCTGTTAGTAGCTTCTCTCTAAACTGAAGACAGTCTTCATATCACTAGAAACACATAACATTTTCTCAGTTGTCACTGTTTCAGGAGGTAATTACATTTGGGCTAATGATTCGTGTATGCTATTACCTCATAAAAATAACCCCAAAAAAGATAGTATTAACCTTGAATGCAGCTTAAGACTCAGGAATCAGGATGAATTATATTCATATTCAGGATGAATATGGTACAACTAACATACATTTAAAAGTAATAATGATAACTAATACAACAGTCACAACAATATTCACAAAAGAGATAATGCAAATAGTATTTGCTGCCAGAAAACAATTGTTCCTCTAACTTATATTCTGAATACAGTAAAATGCTGAGCAGGTGTAGACATGAAGAGAAATATGATTTTTTTCTTTTCCTCTGTGTTGCAATTCAAAAGCATAGACAATATCATGATGTTGGTGTTTAATCCCAGTCATCAACTAAGTAACATGCAACTGCTCAATCACTCCTCACCTAACAGTGGGCTAGGGAGGAGAACTAGGAAAAAAAGGAAAAACTCCAGTAAAATACAAAATTATAATAGTAATAATAAAAAAAAAAAAAAAAACTGTAACAAAAGTGAGAATAAAAAAAAAAAAAAAAAAAAAAAAAACAAAAAAAAAAAAAAAAAAAAAAAAAAGAGAAACCCCATGAAAGAAGGGGGGTTACAATTCAGTTGCTCACCACCTGCTGACCGTCGTCCAGTCTGTCCTCAAGCCACGATCAGCATTTCCTACCCMACTTTCCCCAGTTTATCGGACACGAGTTTATGGTATGGGATATCCCTTTAGCCCTGGTTATGCTCCTTCATGGTGGCTTATGCACTTCCTCACTGGCAAGGCAGTGGAAGCTGAAAAGTCCTTGACTTAGGATAAGCACAACTTGGCAACAAGTGAAACACCACTGTATGAAACAACATTACTCTCAGACCAAATATGAAACACTGCTAAGGAGAAAATTAACTCTATCTCAACCAAACCCAGGATGACCACTCACAAAACCAGGAAGTGATTTATTTCAAATGYACCTGAATTTCTCTCATTGAGCTGGAGACACAACCCACACAACCAGATTCATTCCAAGACRTACAACCCAATTCATTCCAAGACATATAACCATGTGACAACCACCCTTATTTCATTCTACCAGAGAAAAGACTGCCTTTTCTTCTTTATAATATCTGTGCTAAAGAGTAAAAACTATGAAAATATTTTGCACCTTTTCACATTAATATACAATTTCTTCAAGTTATAAATGATGGTTAAGCTTGCTCAGTGGAAAATTCATTAGGTAGCAATGCCAAAAATCCATAATTTCAAACCATTATTGTATAGATGAAGAAGTCAGCAGCAAGAGAAAAAACCTGTAATAAAAAAGTGCCTACTAATTACAGATTCTTATCCTGAACTGCCTAGTTCTTAATCCTATAGTCTGCATTATTTTCGAGAGCAAGGCTGTACAGTCAGATCTCTCTGTTTAATTCATCATTATAAAACCCCTTGGTTACACCATACCTTGTCAATAAACTCATAGTGAAAAGACCCTGACCTTATTAGAGTCATTATTACGGAGCTAGGGCTCGGACAATTTACAGGAGATTGTTTTGTTCACTCACATCCCTTCTCCATTTCAGTGCTTTGGCAGTATCACCATGTCATTCTCTTCCTCCTACAACACCAGTATTTCGTCCCCAAAAGCCAGATAATCAAAGAAACCAATGTCACTGTTCTCCCCATTCTAAACCAGATAACTACTCTCCTGCAATGAAACAAAAATTTTACTTCTCTGCATGTATTACCTGAAAACCATCCATGTCCTTCTGTTCTGTTTTTGTTCCTTTTGTTTTTCCTTTTTGTTCCTTTTGTTTTTCATCGGCTTCTTAAGAAACTGAGAGTGAGTCTAGTCCCATCTACAATGACATCCTGTTTCTCATCATGGCCATGACCATACTGTCTCTGGACAAATTCCTATACAGAACCCTRCATATGGGATATTTTTAGGAAAAAGGTGTCTCAGGGAAGCAGCCTTTCAACCTCAACCTATTGAAAGGCTATGCCATTCTCATATTCAGCGAAACCACTGCATTTATTGGTCTTTATTTAAAGACCAGCAGATGCAGGGGCGTGATGGGAATACCCCAAGAAAAKGATGCAGAAGGCATCATCAACTTCGAACTGATATGTGCGGTGATGACTGGCAATGATCACAGAAAGGAACATTTTCCRGGAAGGTTTTTATTCTGGGTCTAGTGCCTTTTATAAAGAAAAAGGAGAGAACAACTAGGGAATGCACTTCACATTCAATTGAGGGAGATTTACTTCATTTACACTAAGCCATGTAATTTCCACATCACTTTATGAGTCTGGTAAAAGCACCTGAAAGACTTGCCTAAATAAAAGCTTCATTATCTGGGCTATTTTAGCCAAGACAGTATAATTTGGACATACGTAATTACCTTTCTTAAGTACACTGCAAATCAGAGCACATGTCAAGCTATTAGTTATACTCACATATTTAGGAGTGCAACAAAAGTACTTACAAAAAAATCATATAGTAATAAATCTTCTTAAACATAGTAAAATTATCTTCTATGTATAGTTTAACACTAATGGCATCTGTTGTCTGCTGTATAAAATACTTACTTATACCTGAAAGATCAGAAATATTTACATTCAGACATAGACAATTTTAATTATATTATCTTAAGCTTTTTACTCTTTTAGATAAGATTATGATAAATCCCTCAATAGAAAAAATAATTACTGCAAACAAAAGGAATGCTTCGCTAAAGCTTTCAGGATTTTTGCAAGCTTCTGTGGTCCAAGAAATCCCCATCACGATTCCTGTTGAGATGTTTTTCTCTGTAAAAACTGAAACACGTAAATGTAAACAACACAGAATTTTACAAATGCATCACCATACTTTTTTGTAGTTATTCCTTAATTTTCCTCAGAACCTTCAGAAAATATATTTTTGAAGTTATGTTCTATATATATATATATATATTATTTATGTGATTGCCCATCCTATTGTATGAAACCATAAATAATTTATTTGAACACAAGGAAATAAGAATTCCCAATTTTTTATTGGAGTTTTTTCTTCCAAAGCTTCAGAAGAGATTGCAAATGGCAGAAAAATTGAAAATATTTACACATTACAAATGAAATGTTCACATTTTCCTTTTTCTCTTCACACTCTACAATTCATTTATGCATTGACAGCATGTATTAGTTTCTACAATAGTATCCTTGTGATCTCGCTAGCCTCTCCTAGCAACACTTCCTTAATGGGATTATGAAGTACTTTGTCGTGCCAATTTTGCTATCTCCAGAGCTTTCCCTATTTATAGTTCTGTAAAGATAATCCCGAATAGAAACCTGTAAATTATGTCAGACAGTATATGATGAAAATATTCACTATAGTCATCCAACTGAACTCAAGCTGTTTAAGGAGTGTATTTGTAGATGTTTACTATCTTTGTCTGCTCGCACAATGAAATGAAGATCACCAGAATCTTGGCTCTGAGAGCTACCATAATTTTTTCATAGTGAAAAGCACACAGTCAGTGTCAGAGACAGCGTGCTTATCAATAGATGAAACTCATAAAGTCTCCTGCTTGTTACTTATGAACTATTGGCCAAATTAGGGTGGTGCTTGCCCCAATTAAGTCACAGACAATTTAGATTGGAGAGAAGTAATTTGGAGCACCTACAGCATGTGRTTCAGCCTTTTTTTCTATTGATTCCACTAATTTCCAATACAGCTGATATCTAAGCAACCAAGGTTACCAGGTGACAGATACCAGGTATCTTAGATCACAGGAGTCAATAGCTTACAGTAGGAGTTGCCATGATGAATGCAAAAGAATGTCAAAACTTCACCAAAAAGAAACACTAAAACGGAAAAGAATCACACTGGGAAGAGTCCTAATGATATGT